CATCTTGGGGTCCACCAAAGAGCTGATCAGGCACTTTTCACGTAGAAAAAGTCTCAAGATCTTCACCACCAAGTCTCAGGAACAGCAAAAAAGATAAACAACGATGAATCCCTTTTTTTGAACTGAACTCCGAGCCGAACAAAAAGCCTTGGATCGTTGTCAAGTGCCCTGCCGGTGATCCACTAATCATCAGGAGCTTTTCAGCCACCCGAATCGTTTTTCAGCATGAGAGGTTTGATGGAACACGTTGGAGACATGCACTGTGTGGCAACAGCACATAGTATACATCTACATGCCAGGATGGACTGTGCATAACTCGAAAGAACCAAAGCTCCTGATGACTCTGAAGTTGGCGATTCCTTTTTGCATCGAAAGCGGCGGTTCACGCCCGGTTCAGCCGCAGCGGGCGACAGTTCGGTTCGGCCCGGTTCCAGTTCAGCCGCGCTGCACACGGAATTCGCCTCCGGCTGGGATGCGATGAGTACAGATGAAAACATGGCAAAAAGCTGATCGAGCAATGACAATAACAAGGGACACAACATGACAATCAATGTGGTCATGTAGATGAAAGGTGGCACAATTCAAGAGGAGCCAAGGCAAGCTGTGTTTCATCAAAATGTGTGAGGTTACCAAAGAAAACACAACTGGAGAACTTGTTGACACTCGAGGATGTTCATCCATCATCATCCATCTATCTGTGAGCTTCATTTTGGATACCCTCTCTTGAAAAGAACAGCAAGATTGGGTGTCTAAGAGTCTCGGATTTATGTCGTGATGCTGAGGAGATGTACTTGCAGTTGACCAAGCAAAAGCAGTTGTAGCGCATGCTGAGAGTATTTGTCACAATGGGCTTGGCCCAAAACCCTCTGCCCAAATGTACACCCAAGAAACATGTGGAGTGCATATCTGTTGGATGACGCACAGTGGCCACAAATACCACTCGCGGTGTCAATTTAAACTCCAAATTTGAAGCAACTGGAAGGAAGCCAGGACGCTACTAGGGGTTCCTGGCCTTACTACTAGGAGCAAGGACGCTACTAGGGGCTCCTGGCCTTACTACTAGTAACAAGATGTAACAAGAAGCTATTAGAATTCCTTCGTGTTGCATCCCTCTCGTTCCCGTCATCTTCCCTGTCCATCACTCTGCCAGCTTTTCCTCGCTGTGTGAGCCATCCGCAGAGAGCGGACAGAAAACATCGGTCGGCACGTCCCCGGCCGGGGCAGCCGAGAAACGAGGACGGTGTGGGTTTTGTGGTGAATCTGAGAGGCACGGAGCCCGCAAGAGCGCTGCTGAAGGATCTAGAACTGAAGACTATGAAGATCTGGTCATCGGTAGAACTCGAAGTACAGTGAGGATTCACCAAGTTAACTGATAGATCGATCTATTTTTCTACAGTGTCCTTCAGGCACTTCTTTTCCTTTCCTCCTTTCTCTTCGCTTCTCCCGCTGTTTCTCAGGCGACTCCCTCAAGCTCATCGTCCAAGTCCTCGTAGATCTGCGACAAGCCTCAGCGCGACGGGGGGGCGGCGTCTGGATGTGATAGGGTCTTGTCACGAACGAGGAGGCACATCACATGAGACCGTGGCGTCCGCAAACGGCCCAGAGTTCGGAGTTACGACGTTCATGAGGAACAGGGGTGCCATCCACTTCCAGGAACGTGAGTCGGAAGGTAGAATAACAACTTCTTTGGGTTCGACATGGCACAGAGAGAGATGCCTCTGGGGTGTTTGAACCTCGACCTCGGTTCGAGTTTTGCCAAAAAGGTCTCCTTGACCAAGCTCCCGGACCGCTCCCGGCATCCGACTTTTTCAACGTTGCCACTCGGGTGGGCGGTTTGGACCGGTTCAGGTCTGCCGGGCGAAATTGCCTGAGCCATTCCTCATTGGCGCTCGCTCTTGCGGTGCCAGTACCCGAAAAATGGAAATGGGATGAAATGGGCAAAGACTGGATTTAAACTCGAAATAAACACCTATCTACAGCGATCTTCAGCCGATCTTCTCATCTGTGAAACGCGTGCTTTTGTCTGCAGATTGGGCATCTTGCCGCTTTGACGAAGCGATTGGTGCCGTGAGCACACCAGCTACTCAAACAGGTGGAATGAAATTGATGTCGGCATGGCAATTCCTTCACCACCTGAAGCGACGCGTGACATGTCCTGTACTGACTGTCGTTGGGGAGCATGGAGTCAATCTCACCGTACTGGCTGAGATGTTGTTTATTCTTGTTGGGTTCTGTTGCTGCTTAACTGCTTCACCTCCAAATGAACCGGTGGAAACGGACGTCCGCATTGGTTTTTCATCCATCTCAGACCACGTCCCACGTGTTCCAATAAACCTCTTGCTGCTGGTGCCCCTTTTCTCGGAAAAAGGCGGTGGTTGGACTCGTCTAGACTTAACACAGTCAAGCATGGTCACACCAAGTTCCAGGTGGATTAAGAAGGTGAGTTGGATCGTCAGTGTTAAGGTTAAGTGCGAGTCTTTGGAAGTGGTTACCAACAAGCCAAACCCATTGAATGTCTATAGTCTATTCACTGAAGTTCGGTCAAAACTGATCAATATTGGTTTATTTTGCCTGGCATTGAAGCTGACTCACCCTCCTCACATATTCTCCTCTTACGTACATGAGCAGGTCGGAATAATGCGTCTGAGTAATTACCAAGTGCATCTATATACAGATTCTAACCATTTCTGGTTACAAGGCGTCTTCTACACTTCCGCTTTCTTCCGGCGCCGCTTCGTCACCTGGCCGGTTCCGTGTCGACACCGAAGCTTGGTAAGCCGCCCTGTGACCGCTGCCCCGGGCACCTCGCCATCGTCCAACTCGTCCAGGCAGATGGGACACAGACCCGCCGCGGCGGGCACCGAGGGGAAGTCCTCGACGGCCTTGCCGAAGGCGTCCGGAAGCTGCGCTGACCCTCCTCGGTCGTTCCTCGGCCGTTCCGCGGTCTGCGCTCGTTCCGCTTCCTCTTGGTCTCGCTGGAGTTCTTTCCTGCGGATGTAGACGACGAACCTGAAGCGCAGGACGTGGTGAGCCGTGAGCCGGGATGGATTTCTGGAAGTCCCAAAGACATTGAAATCGATGCGATGCATGCGATGCATGTGCAGGATGATCCTCCGGATGCTCCTTTCGATTGTTCCTTTTGATACTTACCCATATTTACCCTAAGAATCCTTGGGCCTGCCATAGCAGGAGTCCGGACCCTCCAAACTCTATGTGTTTGATGGTCAAATCACATGCCAAGACGCGACCCCATTGACATGAGGGGCCTGTGGAGCCCATCCCGGCTTCCTGGGTGATAGCGGAAGGATTGTGTCGAGCCCCCCTTCGATCCCATCAAATCCCCTGCGCGGGCGCCCTCCAATGTATGGAGGATGCATGGCACATCTTCAAACACCAAGCATCCACTTCCCAACGTCGAAGAATCCCTATGTTTTCCCTACCGAAGCAATGGCCATTGCTTAAAGGCGATGCCCTCCACTAGCGGAAGAATCCCAACTTTTCCCAACTTCCCAAGTCACACGTTCGTTTGTGCCCAATTCCTTCGACTGTCGGGTGGCCCACAGCACTGAAAGCAGAGAAGACAAAAAAATATGATCACCAGCACGTGTGGAACACCGAAGGTATCCATGGCGCGGCTTTGAACGAGGAATCCGTCACCGAGAAGGCGTCATATACTATGCATGAACCTATGCAACATACTGAGACATTCAAAGCAATTTATGGGTCAGGGTTGCTATGGATGTGAACTTTCTGGACTCATACATAGATCAATGATGTGATGGCAACCCCTATGGCAGCGGCTCGGCCTTGTCTGAAAAGGACTGACGGCAGCAGTGATGTGGGACACGGATATGGCCATGGCCCCCACTGAAACATGGATCCTCAGGTGTCCCCGATCGACGCAGAATGGCCTATTGAGGATGTTAAAACCTGCCTATAAGTTCGGGTCTCCGAAGTCGGAAGTCGGCCTCCTGCTTCAACTGACCAGGAGTTGAGTTTGCCATGGAAGACATGTTCAGACCAAGTCAGGCGTGCTTGGTTAGATATTGGGAAGAGACGCACGGTTAATGGATGCTTCTTTTGACACATAGGTGAACTGGATGGTATTCTTCAAGATGTGCAAGACTAAACAAGGCAATACTTGTAGCTAAGATATCTTGTGATTCTACCTCACGCATAACTATTCACACACACACACACACACTGTGTGTCACACACTCATGGTGCGATCAATCCTACTCTTGATCAAGTCCTAAACGACATCTGATGGATTTATGTCAAGAGCTTGCCAATTCGAATCTTCAGTGGACGATGCCTTCTGAGAACAGACTTCGATGGCGCTTTCGGACCCTTCGGAGCCGAAGAAGTTGGAAATTCCAGGTGGATCTGCAGGGATCTGAGATATCCCTGGGGAGAAGAAACAAGATCCAAGATCCAAGTGCCAACGGCTTTCTGGGACAACCCGTCAACCCAAAGTCACCTGGGAACTTCCAGTCCTGGACGAACTGCAACAAATCAACTGATCAAACAATTGGCCTGATGACCGCTCCTGATCTCTGGAGATCTTTGGAATATTCACCCGTTGACCACCCGAACGCATCTTTGCGACTGGTTCTGCCCAGAGTCGTTCTAAGAGATCCTCTGGCGCATTCCACAAATTCCTGGCCTGAGCCTGCGTCCGAGTGAATGGAGGTGAGAAGGTGTGGAGTGAATTCTATACACGACCTAGACATGTCCAAATTCCAGACTGTGCAGCTTCGAGAGGAGCGAGCACTGGGAGATTCGCCTCGGGCATCAAAACCGGGTCAAATCGCCCCCTCATCACATCACTTCGTCTATTTCAATATTTCCCTTCCAGGGGTCGAACTGGGGAGGTCTTCCTATTTTAATACCACCCTTGTAATACCGGACAGAGCACAGCATTGTTTCTTTACATCTGTGAAACAAACGTCTTGTATGGTCTTGTCATTCCTTGGTGCTCACCACCAGGACACACCAGTGATCCCCTTGATTCCCCTTGCTTCACACAACTTTCCGAACGGACACCCAGTGCATCCCAGTGCCCTCCACTTCATCCCCTTAAACAAGATTTTATTGCTAGTAGGGTGGAGGCCATCGCTTTTAGGTTCCTTTTGCTATTAGCTTGAAGGCCATTGGTATCCAATTCCTACATCCCGGGCCACGGACCGCTGAACCTGATCCCCATCTTCGCTTGATCGCCGACTCGACCGGCCTCTAAGAGTCGGCCCACGATGTTCCGAAAGGCCTGGCCAAACCGTCGGGTCGCCGTGGTTGTCCGCCCCTCCAGGCCGAGTTTCGCCCGACTGGCACTGGGCTATTGGCCGATATTGGCCTAAATAGATTTTTGTTGAAGGCATTGATGATTGAACCAGTCCCATGGAGTGTCTGGGAGGCTATATAAGGCTGTGAAAGTGCGTGGAAAACGAAAGGAGTCAGAGCTGCACCTCCTGAGTTCAAAACTGTTAGGAGTGAAGGTTTCAAGAAGAATCCCGAAGAACTTCCTTCAAACCCTGGCAGAAACCAGAGTTGATGAAGGCTTAGCCTTCAAGTGTATGATCGACAGCATGCAGAACCACCATTTCAACTCCAGGAGATCGTCGGCGACGTGCTTTTGAATCGAACACCACAGGAAGTGTGGACACCGCCCCCAGTTCCAGCGACTCGCCTCAACCATTGCAGAGGTGGATGTTAAAAAGTAAGAGCTTCAAAGCCCCGGTCAAGGCCCGTCCACCCCTGACTGCCCGCCACGGGCGATCTGCCTCAGGATTACTCTCCTTCAGACGTCGGGCCATGTCCTCATCTAAGACCTTTGCTGGCACTGCTCCGACCAGAGGACCGGGACGTCCAAACGGAAGACCGGAGGAGCGGCTCGGTCTACTCGACTGGAGTTGTTTGGAGCACATCGATGTTCCCCAAGAAAGAAGGTGTCAGGATCTGAAAGGTGAGCATCTGATGAAAGATCTGAGAGATCATTTAGTAGAATAGAAGGATGATGGATTCATCTCTTGTTGCTCATTGATCATCTGGTGATATATCTGGTGGATTTGCTCAAAGTTGACCCTACAAAGGTCCACACATGCCATGGAACCAGAAAGTCACTCTCCCAGCTTCGACCAGTTTGTTACGATGCTTTCACGCTGACACGAGTGGATATAGAGTCGGGTCTCCAGGAGAATGCTCCAAGCCAACCTTATTTCAGAAGACTCCCATCTTCCAAATTCTCAGAACAGGAGTGAGTCATTGAGAAAATATGAAAACATTAGATTCTTTGGAGAAGTCGTGTGTGATGTGTGGGAATCTTGTATACCGAACGTAGTCGCTGAGCCCCCCAGACATAGCGCGCCGCACTCTGGTCCCAAACCCAATCCTGACACAGTAGCTCCGTCAGCGGAAACCGCATTTGTTGCTCCAAATGGTCTTTTTTTTGCAGTCGCAGCTACTGGCACTAGCCAGGCGCGGTTGGAACGTGTTGGAACAATGATATTCAGTTTGTCATACATACCAGGGGCCCTCAAAACCATGAAACATAAAGGTATTCACAGCAAAAACCAGGTGTTTTTGCTAGGGAAAACCAGGTTTTTGATGGTTTGTGGGGCCCCTGGTAGAGGGTGCATTTGCTAGGACCCGGAGTTTGATGTTAGGGAGCTAGCATGCAATTCCACCCTAACATGAGACATCAAGCAACATCAACCAAACTGAATTTGATGATCCCATGAGGCCTTACGCAAGAACTGAACCCAACCAGCACACTGAATCATGCTCTGAGTGATCATCCCGTGGAAAGGCGTCAATCAAGCCAAGTCCATTGAAGAGAGACGGCAACAACGCAGTGTGGACAGGTGACCAGGTTGTCTGCAAACATTGGCACCCAAAAAAGGAAGCACCATGCGGGATGACGACATATATGAACAGAAAGGAGGCCTTTGCTGTGCGGCAGCTAAAATAATCATTACTGACAGCACAGTACCCTTCTTGGAAGGGTCTTCGGTGCTTTGGTACCTGCCATCATCCGTGCCCCTAACATGCCAGCAATATCAAGCAAGGCCAAAGACACGCCCTCCACGTGCCCTAACCTACGCGCGCCGTAACGCCACGCGCGCACGTTCCTGGACTTCACGGTGGGTCACGCCTCGGCGAAGCGCGTGGTGCCGCCCCAGCCCAGCAGCGCCGTCATCCGCTGTGATACCTCAAAGGCGCCACCGGAGCCCTGCGCCACCATGGCCTGCGCAGCTCGGCGAGGACCAGGAAGCGGTTCACTTCGTGCAAAGTGTGTAAGCTGCTTGTATAAGGTTCAGCTTGGGATTGGTTGGCATATGGCATTCTTTGGGTGTGGACGATTCTCTTGACATCTCCTCAGCTCACTCGTTCAGTTCCTCTGGTTCCGGTCCCCCCAAAAGCAGTGAACTCACCTGATGGACATCTCACCCCTCCTGGCGCGGTGGTTCCGCTGCTTCGCCGCTTCGCCGCCCGGACCGCCGCCTCTGCCCACTTGGGATTGAGCAGCTTCGTCCGGTACTCCATCCGCAGCACCGAGTCTAACTTCCCTCGGAGCCAGTCGGAGTCCCTACCTATTCTCATACACACCCATTTCGTAGTTAGTAACAAAGGGCATTGCTACTAGGAGGATGTACATAATATATGTCAATATGAGTGGTCTGCAGGCTAAGTGGTTGGGTACCACCCTGACAAAGACCTCTTGGGAGAACTCTTTAGCCTACCCTCTTGCAACTTGGGTTGCAGTTGCCGCTACCTGTTTGGGTTCAATTTCCACATCTGATGAAATCCAAACTTCACATGCATTGACCATCTAATGACCCAGTTGTCCGAAAGGCTCACCCTTCTCTTAGGAGGTAGCATCCAACTCATGTGCTATATTATACAGGTCCCCATCTTGAGCTCCTCCCCCAAAAGATAGGAAACGGGTTTTAGATGGTTTTAGATGGTTTTAGTATGCCCACCATGGTGAACTGTGAGCATCTGTGAGCATCCCGCGCCAGCGTTGGGACTTGTCATCAACTGTTTGGGACTTGTCATCTCCCAGTGTTCCGTCCACTCAAATAAGATCGAGGACCTGAGGAGCACACCCGGGTGGACATGTTTTGCCACAAGGAATTGCAATCTGTGGGGATGCAAACTACTTGGCCTCCCCTCATGCTCCCTCTTTCCCATCGTCAATGTTCCAAGTCGACTAAGCTCCTTCCCCTCCATCGATCCTCGTGGAGGAACAACTCACTCCTCACGGCGCTCCACCGTCTTCCACCGGACCCGCTGGTCAAGACGGACGTCCAGCCGGACGTGCCTGGGGACCCCGGACGTGGTGCGACCGTCTTCTGGGTCGTGTCCACCACCAAGGCATCCACCTTGCGGCCCTGCAAATCACCTTGGGAGAGGAATGAGCAGAGTGAGCGAATGGATGAGGTCCGGTGGAGAGAGTGGACTGGTGAACTCACCCGGCTGAAGAAGGAGATAGTTGATAGATGTTGATAGCATCGTCTCACAAGGTTTACAGTATCTGGATTGGGCAACTGAAGAAGGGACTGCAGTGTCGCCATTGAGTGAATCTCTCAAAGAATCCAACATAATCCAAACCGCGACCCGCGACCCGATTGGTGTTCTTGGGTCCCCGATGGCTTCCCCAAAGCTTTTGCTTCCAACATCACACTTCCGTTTTTGGAGGTGCAAAACAGGATTGCACTTGATGCCAACAGCGCGAAAGAAATTGAGTTTTTGCTGCAAGCAGGTTCACCATCCATCTCAAAATGACAGTATTTTTTCAACTCTACGAGGAATTTGAGACACTCACATCCTGGCAGCTGCCATCATACCAGAACCACAGCAGGTTATTGGTATGGCATTGTGTTGAAGGTATCGAGGTCAACAACCCAACCCAACCAGGGTAGGTCAACATCATTCCTTTGGAGCAAGCCAGTCGTGGTAGAGCCCCCAGGCACCAATACCGGTCCTCAAACCTTCCTACAAGCTGTCCTACTTCCAGCAACACTCCTCGTTTCGCTCCTTTTTTCTCTCGCACACTGGTCTGATCATGCTCTCACTCAGCTGTCGACCGTGGACGAGGCTGAGAGGAGCTTTCGCAAGTATTCCTGAGCTGCGCCAAAAACAACGGGGGAAGGGTTTCAGCGAGTCGTCGCAGCTGAGCGAATCCAACGAACGATGCAGGCAAATCCAACGGACGAATCCAACGGATCCGCCGGCAAAAGGGGATGTATGACTAGTTTGAAGGTTGTTGAGAGGGCAAATATTCTAGTTGAATGATGTTGAGTGCCTTGTTGTCTTCTTGCGAGGAATGCATTCTTGTCTCTTTGCTCTCTTTGGTTACGGAGGCTTTGTTCGTCGAACGAACAAAACTTTGGCAATGTCGAACCTGTAGATATCAAACCTGGATGGTTTGGGACATGAATCATGTCCTCGGTACACACCGCTTCTGCGTCAAAGGCCCGGAGAGCAAAGTTGGTTGCTCCTATAGTGACTATAGTGCAGACTTTGTGTGCCCAGATACCCTCCATGCAAAAACATGGAACTGGACAACCCCGGTTTTTTTCTGAAGAAATGCGTCAACCCCGTTGTCTTCAAAAGTGCCGTCCATGCTCGAAAACGAAGGGTCATTAGTTTTACAATCATAATATTAATACGAAGGGTCATTAAGAAGGAATAATGAAAGGTCTAAACGAAGGGTTTATAATCATGTTAAGTTGCTTGAGTTTAGTGTTTTTGCTCGCAAGAAGTGTTTTGCACCAATGTTGTTTGGAAAAAATGAAAGAAGTGTTTTGGTGTTTCCGTGGCCAAGTCTTAAAACACTTCCACAACCAATAACCATTCGACCCTTCTTCTCACCCTCAATACCCTGAAACACTACGGCCAGCAGTCACAAATCCCCAAAGCGCAAGCACCAAATGCCGTTTTTCTTTTAACAAAAAATGCAAGCAGTCTCACTGATCCAAAGATCAGCTCTTCTTGAACAGCTTTCGCAGGTCTTCAAACAAACTTCCTACAAAGTGTTTACAAAGTTTTGGATCTTCACAAAAAATTGACAAAGTTTTGGAATTACAACTTTTTTACCGAGTTTTTGCATTACAAAGTTTTAACAAAGTCTACAAAGTTTAAAAATAGAAATAACAAACTTCACAAAGCTTTGGAAACTTACAGCACATTAAATTCTACGAAATTTTTACAAAGTATTAAACCTTTAGATATCTGAACAAAGCTTTGGACATTTATCAAGCTTTGAACAAGTTTTTGCATTTTACAAAGTTGTTACCAAGTTATTGATTTTGAACGTTTTTACAAAGCTTTTACAAAAGTTTTTGATGCTTACAAACTTTCTACAAAGTTTCGGATTTTTTCAATCTGTGTCAAAACTTTGTAAACTTTATTCTTTGAAAACTTTGCAAAACGTTGTAAACTTTGTAAGAACTTTGTAAACTTTGTAAATACTTTGTAAATTTTCAATTCTGTGTAAGCTTTCTAGAAACTTTGGTGAAATTCTAAAACTTTGTAAACTTTCAAAACTCTGCAACAACTGTGTAAAGATTGAAAAAACTTTGCAAACTTTGTCAAAACTTCGTAAACTGTTGTTAAAATTGTAAACTTTTTAAACACTGAAACACTTTAACCTTCGTAAACCTTTGCAAAAACTTTGTACACTTTGTAAAACTGTGTAAAAACTGCGAAAACTTTGTGTAAAAAATTGTAAAATGCGAAAACTTTGTCAAAACTTTGTAAACACTTGTAAACTTTGTCGAAACTTTGTGAACTTTGTCAAAAAGTTTGCAAACATTGCAAACTTTGTACACTTTGTACTAACATTTTGTAAACAACTTTTAGATGTTGTAGGCCTTCGTAAACTCTATTTAAAAAAGACGTTATAGACTTCGTAACACTTTGCAAACTTTGTAAAACGTTTTTAAACTTCGTAAACTTTGTCAAAACATTGTAAACATGTTGAAAGACCTTGTGAACGTTGTGAAAACTTTGTAAACTTTGAACACTTTGTAAATTTCCTAAACACTTTGTACAAATTGTGAAACTGTACAAACTTTGTAAAAACCTTGTAAAATGTAGAAAAACTTTGTAAACTTTGCAAAAAATAAACTAGCAAAACTTTGTAACCGTTGTCAAAACTTTGTAAACTTTGTCGAAACTCTGTAAACTTTGCAAGACTTCGTAAACTTGGCAAAATCTTTGTAAACTTTCCAAAATCTTCAAAACTTTGTAAGCTTTGTAAAAACTTTGTAAATTTTTGTAACAAAGGGCAAATGTCGCAAACTTTGTCAGAACGTTGTAAACTTTGTAAAAACTTTGTAAACTTTGTAAACTTGAAAAAGCTGTTGTAAACTTTGTAAAAACGTTGTACAACTTTGTAAACTTTGTAAAAAACTTTGAAAACGTTGTAAACACTTTGTGAGACTTTGTAGACTCTGTAAAAATTGAAAAACTGTGTAAATTCCGAACTTTGCAAGAACTTTGTCAAATTCCAAAGCTTTGTAAAATCGTTGTAAACTTTCAATACTGTGCAAAAACTGTGTGCAGTGTAAACTGTTTATATAAACTTTGCAAATTTTGTGAAAGCTTTGTACTTTGTAAACTATGTAAATACTGTGTAAAGTTTGCAAATGTTTGTACACTTTGTAAAAACGCCATGTAAAAATTGTAAAATGTGCGACCTTTGTAAAATTTTTTATAAACTTTGTACAAGCTTTGTAAACTTTCAATACTTTGCAAAACTGTGTAATCTTTGTAAAAACTTTGTCATCATTGCAGCAACATTGTAAAAAACTTTCAATACGTATTTAATTGATTTTTAAATGGTAAAACCTTTGTAAACTGGGTAAAAATTGGAAATTGTTCAAAACTTTGTAAACTGTGTTAAAATATTGTAAACTTTGTAAAACTTTGTAAACTTGGTAAGCGGTTGTAAAATTTTGCAAACTTCATAAAATATGTGTAAAACTTTGTAAACTTTGTACCAACTTTGAAAGCTTTGTAAAAGCGTAGTGAACTTGGTATAAACTTGGTAAACTTTGTCAACACTTTGTAGACTTTGTAAAACATTTTTAAACTTTGTCAAACTTTGTAAGCTTTGTCAACCTTTAAACTTGTAAAACTTTGTAAGAACTTGGTAAAACTTTATTAAGACGTTGTAAAATTCGCAAACTTTGTGAAAAGGTTTACCAACCTTTTACAAAGTTTTGGAGTTCTTCAAATTGTTCTTCAAAGTTAGAGCAACGTTTTATACAGTTTTTTGAACGTTTACAAAGTTTTATATTTTTACAAAGTTATACAACGTTTACAAAACTTTCACAAGTCTTAAGAATTTGTACAAAGTTTGCAACTTTTGCAAAGAGTTGACAGAGTTGTTGAATTACAAACAAATTTACAAAGGTTTACAACGTCTACAAAGCTTTTACCATGGCCGTTCACTCACCACTCACGAGACAAACAAACCTATGAAATAGTCCTTTGGGTCTCGTATGTTGCCACTAACAGCGCAAAAAAACAAGACGTGTTTTATACCCTCTCTCTTAGTTCTGAACAACCAATTCTTCAGAGGTCCGCAAGGGTCAAAAACACTTCTTCTGCGCTAATTCCCCCGAAACAACGAACGACGGTCCCCAAGCAACTTAACATATAATCATAATGTTTAAATTTAGTTTTATAAATATATGGAGGAACTAGACTTAGCAATTCACCTTGTTCGCAACATGGCAGTTCCGCCAAACCACTCTCTAAAGGCGACCACTCACTTGGAACTCTTAAACTTCATGACCAAGCAACGGCACGCCCGTGGGGGCACGAGGACCGGCCCGGAAGCATCCCTCCAGGTGCCGAGGCTCATCATAGACCACCCAGAGCACTGGAATCAGCTTCTTGGCCACATCCACCTCGGATCTTCGCTTCGATTCACTCCCATTCAATCCACGGCGGATAGGAGTCGCTCGGACAAAGCAAAGAAGGCGTCCGGTGACTTAATCAACACGAACCGTCCGAAGCGTCCCCCATGACCCCCCAAGCTCAGTAGCTCAGGAGAGGGCGACGTGTATTCTTGGGGTCAATTGGTTCAATGCAACAACTGGTCGAGGTCTCATGCACCTCTGGTTCCACATGTATTTGCTTCCCCCCTTCATCCAACCAAAGCCCACTCACCGACTACCCGACCAGCGCGTTCGCGCCTCCACGAAGGGTCGCTTCTTCACATCGCTGTTGCACCAGCCGCGATCCCATTGGCCCTTCTCTTGTGCACGATTGCCTCAGGAAAATCTGCTCATGCACCGGAGGCCTTTCTCATGAAACGCATCGCCGCATTGCCATTTTTCTCTAGTTCCAGGGTTCCCTGGAGAGTTGGAGATCGTGAAGGAGCAGCTT